TCAATAGATTTGAGTAGAGCTCATCACGAGCTTCAAAAATGAGCCTAAACACGCCTAGGCTCTCACACTTTGAAATTTCTCATTGACACGCGACGCACGACCGCGACGCGCCGGAAAAATGAAAGTGGGCGGAGCCTAGACGTGTTTGGGCTCATTTTAAAGCTCGTGATGAGCTCTAGACAGTCCGGAACAATGCAAAACCAAGAAACGGCTCTAAATTCCAAAAAAATTGGAAAAATCTCAAAAAAAATTTTATTCCAATTTTCTCACCTTATTTTCACACGTTTCACCCATATTTTTCTTCCAATCTGCTCCAGAATTTTCTCGATTTTTTCAAAATCCTGACATTGCTCAGCTTTAAATTCCAACACCTCCAACTTCAACTTCGGATTGCTCAGCCGTTCGGCAAGCTCCAAAAATGCCAATTCCTCAAAATTTGGGTTTTTTGAAATTTCCAAATTGTCTAAATTCTTGTAAAAATACAAATATTTTTGAATTTTGAAATTTTCGCGCCCAAAAATCCGATATTTTTTATCGATTTTCAGACTGAAATGGTCGAAATTACAGCGAAATTTCAGCTCGCCAATGGGCGATTTCAGCAAATCCACGTGGATTTTTAAGTGGCGGGATACGGTACGTAGGGTCCATTGGTTACTGTAGTCACAGTTTTCGATGATAGTTTTGACGATTCCAATAGGTAGATCCATGAATTCCGGTGCCATGGGGGCGGGGCTAAAAATTGATTTTTTTTTAAATTTTTCGTGGTTTTCATTTTTCCGAGCTCATTATGAGCTTCAAAATGAGCCCAAACACGACTAGGCTCCGTCCACTTTCGAGCGCGTCGCGGTCGTGCGTCGCGTGTCGGCGGGAAATTTCAAAGTGGGCGGAGTCTAGTCGTGTTTTTTGAAGCTCTCAATGAACTCAAGACAGTGAAAACAACAAGAAATTACGAAAAACGGCTTTTAAAGTCTAAAAATTGGCATTTTTGAAAAAAAAAATGAAACTTGAAAATTTTCGGATTACTGTAGCTTTTCCGGCGGCATTCAATTTGAAAAATTTTTATGAATTTGAGTAGGACTCATCACGAGCTTTAAAATGAGCCTAAGCACGCCTAGGCTCCGCCTACTTTGAGATTTCCCATAGACACGCGACGCGTCTGGAAATTCAAAGTGGGCGGAGCCTAGTCGCGTTTGGGCTTATTTTGAAGCTCTCATTGAGCTGTGCTCAAATTCATTAGTATTTTTCAAAAAAGTATGCCGCCAGAAAACTACAGTAATCCGAAAAAATTCAAAAATTTCAATTTTTGGAATTTTAAAGCCGTTATTTGTATTTTTATGTTTTTCACTGTTTTAACCTCATCGTGAGCTTCAAAATGAGCCCAAACGCGGCTAGGCTTCGCCCGCTTTGAAATTTCCCGCCAACACGCGACGCACGACCGCGACGCGCCGAAAGTGGGCGGAACCTAGGCGTGTTTGGGCTCATTTTGAAGCTTAGGATGAGCTGGATTTAAATTCACAAAAATTTCTCAACAAATAGGTGGGCGGAGCCTATTTTTTTGTCAAGATTTTTGAGAAAAAAATTTTTTATCGATTTTTTTTATTTCATTTTTTAAATTCTTTTTTCGAATATTTTTAATCTAAATTTGAAAATTTTGAATTTCCCGCCCGATTCACCTCTCCCCAAAATCCCAATTTCCATCTGAAAATCGCTGAAACCAATACTGAAAATGGGTCCATGGGACCTTCCCAATAACTTCCAAAATTTTATCATGAGCAATATCGATTGATTTCCCACAACTCACATCATTCAGAATACAGCTTTTCAGCGCTGTATAGCTGGATTTCAGAATTTCAGCCAAGTTTCTGAAAAAATATTTTTTTTTCAATTTTTTGATTTTCTCACTTTTTACAAGTACTTTCATTGCAATTTTCGATAGAAATTCTGTTGAAAAGTGCCTTAAAATCCGTATAAGAGATCAAATCTGGTCCATATTTCCGGCAAATCGTCTGATAAGAGTTTTCAGGCGATTTCCAGTGGAAAGTGTCATATAATATGCAAGTTTCAATGAAAAAATCGAAATTTTCGGTCATTTTTTACCTGAAAATGGCGAAAAAATCATGAAAATTGATGGAAAATGAAGGAAAATCGGCGAAAAATGAAAAAAAAAACAAAATTTTCTACAGTAACCCAAACTAATATTTTTATAATGATGTTTTTTGTCGTTTTCAGTGAAATTTCAGCTTGTTTTCAAATTCAAATTGTTTTCAAAAAGTTTGGAATTTTATTGTATTTTTTAACTTTATTTTTCAGTAATTTCTGCAAAAAAACTAGCAAAAAAAACGCAGAAAATGGCTAAAAATTAAAAAAAACGAAGTGTTTTCACGGCGAGACTCCATTTACAACTTTAAGCTCTGCGCCTTTAAGAAAAAGCGCCAAGTTCTTTTTTTCAATTTTTCTGTCATTTTTGGTCATTTTCCAGCCATTTTTCGAGTTTTCCAGCTTATTTTTCCCGTATTTTTCATTTTTAATGCTTCAGAATTATGACACAACGTCGGAATCCGCACATATTGCCCAGGAGAAGTTATAATCACAAGCCGCCGGCGGGAAATTCAAATAATAACAATTCGATGCAGCCCAATTTTCAAATTGCCGCCGCTCCGCCGAAACCAAAAAATCAGAAAAAGCGTCAGCAACGAGTGCCAGATGAGATTCGAAAACTTCAGGCGTCGACACAGCTGATTTTTCCAAAATCCAGATTTCGAAAAATCGTCAAAGAGCTTCTTCAGGACTATTTGACACCGTTGCAAGTGGCCGATGAGGCTGTTGACGCGCTTCAGGTGAGGATTGGCTTGGCGCGAAATTTGAAATTTTCGAAAAAAAAATTTTTGATATTTTTTTCAGTTCGCCGCTGAAGGATACCTTGTGAAGCTGTTCAAACAAACCAACAAATTGACGATCCGTTCTGGTCGAAAAACCATCAAGAAGGAAGACTTGCAGCTGGTTTTGGACTTGCTCGGAGGAGAAAATGACTAGAAAATTCTGGAAATTTTAAATTTTTACGGTTAAAATTATGTATTTTTGCCCCCCTGCACACTCTCTTACATGTACACTACCTCGCTCGTTTTATATACAGAAAGAAGTCTTAATAAATTTCGGAGAATTTGGGTTTTTTTTTCTTTTTGTTCAAAAACTTTCCCCCGAATAATTTATAACACACAGCCTCATCGCCCTCCTACTGTCTGCGTCTCTCCGCCGCTTTCCCTGTAGTTTATCATCGCCCTCCACCCTCCTTTTCTCTCGTGACTGCTTGGCGCAATGGTAGCGCGTTCGACTCCAGATCGAAAGGTTGGGCGTTCGATCCGCTCAGTGGTCAAATTTTTTTTCTTTTTTGGTTTTGTGTTTTTTTTTCTTTTTTGGTAATGTTTTGGAACTGTTTTTAGTCACTTTTTAAGGGTTTTTGGGACTTTGAGAATTTATTCGGTATCTTGAAATAGCAGTTCTGTTGAGATTTAAAATTTTTAGAAGGGTCAGAAAACTTTAAAGGCGCGGATCTCAAAAACTACAAAAGTTTCAAGAAATTTGCAAACTACGAAAATGTGTAAAATTTTATCCCGAGCAATTTGGGAGTTGAAACCAATTCTCTAACTACTGTAGTTTTTGAGATATGCGCCTTTAAGGAGACGCAGAGAAGCTATAGCATTCTAGCTGTCTGCGTCTCGCCGACAAAATTTAAAGACGCATAACTCGCTTGAACCTGTACCAAAATTTATGAAAATAACTGGATTTTACAGGAAATTTCAAGGGCTCTCGAATGATATAAAAACACATATTTTTAGAAAAAAAAACTTTTTTTGGAATTTTTCAACTTTTTGAATTTTCAATTTCGTGGTTTTCAAATTTTTCTTTATATTCTCAATTTTCCCAGTATTCCAAGCATCAAAACAGGCTAAAAATCATGAAAATCGGTCTATTTTCAGCTGTGTTACAGCCATTTGAAGTTTGAGAAGAGACGCAGAGAAGCTAGAGCGCTCTCGTTTCTCTCTGTCTCGCCGGCTAACTTTAAAGGCGCATAACTCGCTTGAACCTGGACCAAAATAGATGAAACTTATATAGTTTTGAAGAAAATTTCAAGGGCTTTCGACTGATAAATAATAGTTAGACGAAAAATTGAAACTTTCGAAAAAATTCGAAAATTAAAAAATCGGAGAAAAATTTCGAATTTTTTGAAAATCCCAATTTTTCCAAAAATCTTTTTTTTTTTGAGATATGCGCCTTTAAAGAACAAATACAAGTTTTCAATCCGATTAAGCTTCGATTTTTTCCCTCGAAAATCTTTTTGCAAAACTTTTGCATCATTCCCATTCATTCCATTTTGCCATATTGGTCTTGGCCGTTTGCCAGGAAAACCTTGAATGCATTTTCTCTGCGTCTCTCGCTTCTCCACACTATTTCTCTTTTCTCGTCCGTCAAATGGACCGTTGCCAATCGGCCCGCAGGGCGCCCAGAGAAGAGATTTTATGCAAAATAGGCAAAATACAGGGACGAATGGATTCATTCATTTCTTTTGCATTTTTGGGGTTTTCAAGGTAAAAGAAATTGGATTGAGAGAGGGGGAAAATGAGAAAATTGGGGGAAACAGAGAATTGGCAATTTGCTTAAGAAAATGTAAATGAAGTTTGTTTCGTCGGTGATGGATAATGATGAGAAAGTGGAACGGTCATCTTGCAAAGCGCATATCTCAAAAACTACAGTAGCTGGCACAAACTTGTCAACTAGAGAAATGTTTAAAACTTCATAACAAACATTTTTGCAGTTGACAACTTTTTTCTAGTTTTTCTAGTCCTTGAGATATACGCCTTTAAAGATCAGGAGTGGGCGCCGACGACGAGAGTCTTCTCGTTTCTCTGCGTCTCTTCGGCTAGCTTAGAAGGCGCATAACTCTCTTCGACGGTGATCAAATTTAATGAAAACAACATAGCTTTATAGGAAATTTCAAGGGCTTTTGAATGAGATAACATTTGCATGATTTTAGAAAAAATGTTTGTTTTTAGTTTAAAAATTTTAGAAAAATTCCCAAATTTGAAAAAATTATTTTCTCTCAAAACCTGTGAAGTAAGCTTGATGCTCAAATTTTGATAATTTTTAAAATTTCATTTTGGTTTAATGTAGCATTTACGGTAGCTACAGTAATCCAAAAAATGGAAAATGAAAGTTCCAAATTTCAACGTCGTATCCTATTATTACACAAAATTGCATTTATCTCAAAAACTACAAAAGTTATCAAAAAATTGTCAACTGCAAAATTGCTCAGCATAAATTTTTACACATTTTTGTTTCTGACTATTTTTTGATAGCTACTGTAGTTTTTGAGCTATGCGCCTTTAAACTTTGGGCGCGCCTTGCTTTTCTGAGCCTCATATCTCCAAAACTACAGTAGCCATCAAAAACTTTTAAACTGCAAAATTGCTGATTATAAAACTTTACAATTTTTTGCTGTTAGCAACTTTTTCATAGCTACAGTAGTTTTTGTGATATGCGCCTTTGAAGTTGGCGCCTACAGTAGTCGTGATCATTTTCAGCCAAATTTTTTTTCAGAAATTCAATTCTTTTGTTTGTTTTACTATGACTACTACTACTACTACAAGATTCCAATTTGTTCCCGAAAATGTCCAAAAACTTGTTGATTTTTCTTTTTTTCGATTTCTCTGCGTCTCTCTCTCTCTCTCTCTCTCTCTCTCTCTCTCTCTCTCTGTCTCAATACATACATAAACGGACACAATACACCTTGAAATACTCGTTTTTCGGTTACGGTAGAAAGAACAGGCTCCGCCCACTTTTCGGCAGTCCTATATAACCCCAACGTCTTCTATAGGATTCTGAAGGATTCTAAAATCTTCTAGAATCATGATAAAATTCATCGCCTCCGGTTTTGCCGCGCTATCCGGCTTTGCAATTTTGGCACTGACCATTTTTGTACCCCAAATTTATTGGGAAATCAACGAGTTGCAAGTTGAGGTTGTTGGTGTTGTGGAGAGTTTTAAGGTGAGTCTGAAAATGTGAAATTTAAATTTAGCTTGGAATTTCAAGTATAGTGTTAGTTTACAGATTTTTGATAGGTACTGTAGTTTGGGAGATATGCGTCTTGGGAAATCGCGCCCAAAGTTTAAAGGCACATAACTCGAAAACTGCAGTAGCTATCAATAAGTGGTCAACTACAAAAATATGTAAAATTCTAAGCTGAGCAATGTTGTAATTGACAACTTTTTGATAAGTTTTTCGTTTTTCGAGATAAAAAACTTTTTTTGAAAGCAGCTCGAATTTTCAAATTTTTTCAAAAAAAGTTTTTTGAAGTTTTTGGATTACTGTAGCTAGCGTTAACTTTGTATATTTTATATCACTCGCAAGCCCTTGAAATTTCCTTTAAAACTAAACAAATTTCATAAATTTTGGATACCGTTCAAGCGAGTTATGCGCCTTTAAATTTAGCTGGAGAGGCGCAGAGAAACGAGAGGACTCTAGCTTCTCTGCATCTCTTTTCAAACTCCAAATGCCTGTATCTCGGCTCAAAATCACTCGATTTTCATGATTTTTAGCTTATTTTAAAACTGAAAAACTGGGAAATTAGAAATCGTTAAACTTCTTGCTTTTAAAATAAAGTTTTCAGGTGGAAACCGATTCTCTGTGGATCGACCTGATGGATGTCCAAATCAAGCACTCTGCGCCATCTCGTCCACTGGAAAATCCACTCCTTAGAAGGGATAAACGCTTCGCAAAACTGCCAGACTGGTGTCAGTGTGATTCAGCACCACAATGTCCGCCCGGACCACCAGGACCACAAGGAGCTCCAGGAGCACCAGGAAGTAAGAATTGTGCTATGAGTATTTTATATCATTCAAGAGGTCTTAAAGTTTCCAGCAAGACTATATCGTTTTTTATCAATTTTAGTCTAATTTGAAGCGAGCCATGCGCCTTTGAAGTTTGTCGACGAGACGCAGAGAAACGAGATCTCTCTAGCTTCTCTGCGTCTCCCTCCCCTCCAAGAAAACGCGCGCCACCTTTAAAGGCGCATGACTCAAAAACTACTGTAGCCATCACAAAGATGTAAACTACAAAAATGTGTAAAGCTTTAAGCTGAGCAATTTTTTAATTAATAGCTTTTTGATGGGCAGTGTACTTTTTGAGATACGCGCTTTTGAAATAAGCTGCACCTCTAAAATTATCTATTTTCAGTCCCCGGAGAAGCTGGACCTCGTGGAATGGACAATCCCCACCAAATCTCCACCACTTCCTGCGATCAACAAATTTCGGGATGTGTTCAATGCCCAAGAGGGCCTCCAGGACCTGCTGGACCCGTTGGAGACATTGGACCACAAGGACCAGATGGTGCTCCAGGAGCACCAGGATCCCCATCTCAGACTCACGGGCGGCCAGGACTTCCAGGACCACCAGGAGATGCTGGAGCTCCCGGAGCACCAGGATTGGATGGAGAGCCAGGACATCCGGGGGCGGATGGACAGAGACAAAAGGGTCAACCGGGACCACCGGGACCACCAGGAGCCAGAGGAAAAGCTGGAGAAAATGGGAGAGCCGGAGAGAAGGGACGAGATGGGGAGGCTGGAAGTGAGGGAATTCCAGGGGTGCCTGGACCAAGAGGAGCACCAGGAACACCGGGAAGTGTTGGACAATCTGGTGGGCCAGGAATTCCAGGTAAGGATTTTTTAATCGTTAAAAAAACTGAAACGTTTTTTTTCTGAGCCGAGTTAGAGGTCTTCCAACATGCTATTTTTTTTCAGAAAATGCAATTTTTGGCCTATTTCACTTTAAAGACTTATATCTCAAAAACCAAGGTAGCTGTTAAAAATTTGTTAATTGGTAAATTGCTCAGCATAAAATTTCACACATTTTCGGAGTTGACTTTTTTTCGAAAGCTACTGTAGTTTTTGAGATATGAGCCTTTAAAGTTGGAGTGCCTTCTCCGCCGAGTGAGGGGAGGGGAGAAGCAGAGAAGCGAGAGCGCTCTCGCCTCTCTGCGTTTCTCCAGGCAAACTTTAAAGGCGCATAACTCGCATTAATGGCAAGCGAAAAAAATAAAATTTATAGTGTTTTGAAGAGAATTTTATTTGAAAATAGAAAAACTCCTAAAATTCCAAAAAAAAAAAGTTTTTTTCAACTATCATCAGAAAGCCCTTGAAATTTCCTTCAAAACGGAGTAAGTTTTATTGACTTTGATTGCTGTTAAAGGGAGTTATGCGCCTTTAAACTTTCCAGGCGAGACACAGAGAAACGAGAGCGCTCTCGCTTCTCTGCGCCTCCTTCCACTCCAAGAAAGCGCGCGCCAACTTTGAAGGCGCATATCTCCAAAACTACTGTAGCTACTGAAAAACTGTCGACCACACGATTGCTCAGCATAACATTTTACACATTTTTGTAGTTTACAGTTTTTAGCCAGCTACTGTAGTTTTTGAGACATGCGTCTTTAAAGTTGGATCACCAAGCAACGAGAGACTCTCTTATCTCTGCGTCTAACTATTTCGTTTTTAGGTCTGATGGACAATACTGTCCCTGCCCGCCAAGATCCTTCATTTTGGCTGCCAATTCTCGTCGTCTTCGTTCTCACGTCTGAATTTGCTGATATTGAAAAAAATTTTTTTTGGAATTTTTTTTTGTTAAATCGAATAAAGCTTTTGTTTTCTTTTTTTATCATTGCTCATCGTTAAATTTTGCAAACTTCAAAAATCTGTGTTCTAAACTCATACAAACAGAACTCCCCCGACAGACACGCCAGTGTTAATAATAATGATCCCCCGCACTAACAAAAAACGCTGTGCCTATGTTTAAAGACGCATATCTCAAATACTACTGTAGCTATCCAAAAATTGTTAACTGCAAAATTACTCAACATAAAATTTTACACATTTTTGTAGTTGATAATTTTTTGATAGCTACTGTAGTTTTTGAGTTATGCGCCTTTGAAGTGAAGCGATCACTTGGTGTTTGTTTTTCTCATTGGATTAGCGAGGGAAAGACGCAGACAGTGAGACAAACTTTTTTGTGACAAAAATTTTTGATACTATTTTTTGCGATTTGTCTTTTCAGTTTTTGAAATATGATATCCATTTGTTTTAGTTTGTGAGTGGGTGGAGAAAAAAAATTGAAAATCGTATTGTGAAAAATGTTTTTTTGTAAAATTCTAAAATTCTAAAATTCTAAGATTCTAAAATTCTAAAATTCTGAAATTCTAAAATTCTAAAATTCTAAAATTCTAAAATTCTAAACTTCTAAACTTCTAAAATTCTAAAATTCTAAAATTCTAAGATTCTAAAATTCTAAGATTCTAAAATTCTAAAATTCTAAGATTCTAAAATTCTAAAATTCTAAGATTCTAAAATTCTAAGATTCTAAAATTCTAAAATTCTGAAATTCTAAAATTCTAAAATTCTAAAATTCTAAAATTCTAAACTTCTAAACTTCTAAAATTCTAAAATTCTAAAATTCTAAGATTCTAAAATTCTAAGATTCTAAAATTCTAAAATTCTGAAATTCTAAAATTCTAAAATTCTAAAATTCTAAAATTCTAAACTTCTAAACTTCTAAAATTCTAAAATTCTAAAATTCTAAAATTCTGAAATTCTAAAATTCTAAAATTCTAAAATTCTAAGATTCTAAAATTCTAAAATTCTAAGATTCTAAAATTCTAAAATTCTAAGATTCTAAAATTCTAAGATTCTAAAATTCTAAAATTCTGAAATTCTAAAATTCTAAAATTCTAAAATTCTAAAATTCTAAACTTCTAAACTTCTAAAATTCTAAAATTCTAAAATTCTAAGATTCTAAAATTCTAAGATTCTAAAATTCTAAAATTCTGAAATTCTAAAATTCTAAAATTCTAAAATTCTAAAATTCTAAACTTCTAAACTTCTAAAATTCTAAAATTCTAAAATTCTAAAATTCTGAAATTCTAAAATTCTAAAATTCTAAAATTCTAAAATTCTGAAATTCTAAAATTCTGAAATTCTAAAATTCTAAAATTCTAAAATTCTAAAATTCTAAAATTCTAAAATTCTAAAATTTTAAAATTCTAAAATTCCAAAAAATTCTAAAATTCTAAAATTCTAAAATTCTAAAATTCTAAAATTCTAAAATTCTAAAATTCTAAAATTCTAAAATTCTAAAATTCTAAAATTCTAGAATTCTAAAATTCTAAAATTCTAAAATTCTAAAATTCTAAAATTCTAAAATTCTAAAATTCTAAAATTCTAAAACTCTAAAATTTCAAAAATTCAAAAATTTCAAAAATTCAAAAATTCTAAAGTTAAAAATCCCCAAATTCGACTCCCCCGCCCCTGATTTCTGTAAATCCCCATGTCCGGATGTCCGCACCCCTAATCCTATGTAAACCATGCTCCAAGAGCCTTCTTGACACAAGCCAACAGAGCCCCCAAATCACAACAAATCGCTTTCTCTTTCTCCGCACTTTTGTTCTCTTTTCTCTGCGTCTCTCACCCTCTCTCTTATCACTGTTATCACTGATTATATCACTGTGAAGGCACGCACTCCCGCTTGGCTTTACTACACACTCCCGTCTCTGCGTCTCTCGCTTCCCCGTACTCTCTCACCGATCTGCGGGAGCTCTCAAGAGCTCCCGAAGTGGTGGGGGATATGTCAGAGTTCGGAAGGTAGTGAGCGAGATAATGAGAGAGAGAGAGAGAGAGAGAGAGAGAGAGAGAAGGCTCACGCCCGCGGGGAAGGATGGATGAGTAGGAGCCGATGTTCTGGAGCATTTTGAGGAGATTCTCTTATCCGCCCTCCGTCCGCCATCGGTCCGTCAGACGGACGGATGGAAGGATCAGGAAACTTTTTTTAGTGTTTTGAAAAAGAGAGAAAATGAGAGATTTACAATGTTCGAAGAGGATGTTTTTATGTGCTTTTGGGTTCGCGAGATATACGATTTTGAACTATTTTGAGGTCCATTTGGACACTTTTTCACTCATTGATATAGGTAGTTCGTATTTAATTATATCAAGTTTTCCAGCCAATTTTGAGTTTGTTTTTGGTTATTGGACTATTTTTCGCTAATCAGATGACTACCGTAATCGCACTAATAGAAGCCCCCCCCCCCATACTATCAACTTTAACCTCATACAGCTCAAGTCCTAGGCAAGATATCAAAAAATTGTTAACTGAAAAAATGCTTATCACCATATCAGAAATATTTTATCAGTTGACAACTTTTTGATATCTCTCACAGGAACCGAGATAAATTGGCTCAAAGTTAAAAACTGCCCTGGTTCCCAGGGGACCCCTTCTATTATAGATTTTACGGTGTCTTCAGTTGGTTTTTGACCATCTGGACCATTTTTGTTCACTTTTTTAGATAAATCAATCGCTGTGGTTATACATTGACACATTTATGACTTAATAAAGGACACCTGGACCATGTTTCATCCTTTTGCTGGTATTAGAGAACATCTGGACTATCTAGGGCCTTTCTCGACCAATTTTGCTCAAATTTTTCAAGAATTCTAAATTGTTCCAATCATTTCTGATCTATTTCAAGCTTCCCACAATAAGGAATTCTTTTATCCGCCTTCCGTCTGCCTCCGACGGACCTATGGCGGCTCTATGACTTGTGTTTCGATATATTACGAGTTTGACCTGTTCTAGACCATTTTGATTAACTCTGAAGAACCAATTTTCGGGTTCATTTTTAACAATTCGGAAAACTTTAAAGGCGCATAACTCAAAAACTAAAAAAGCTATCAAAAAGTCGACAACTAACAAAATATTCAAAATGAAATTTCACACATTTTTATAGTTGACAAGTTTTTGACAGCTACAGTACTTTTTCAGTTGAGCGCCTTCAAAGTTGGTGCATTTGATTTTTGCGAAATTCGCAAAATTCCTCCGAAAAAATTGAAAAAAAAACACATATATCTATATATCATCGGAAAACTGCTGATCTGCCTTTCCAAATGCGCTAAAAATCAAGTTTCTAGTTTGTTTCTGAAGCGAGTTATAGCCATTTGGTGGGTTTTTTTCTGAAAAGTTTTTGATGTTTCACAATTTTTTGTTGTTCGGGAAAACGAATACCAGATTGATACTGAGTTTACTGGTATGGTATCCATTTTAAGTAGAAAAATGTGGATTTTTGGGTCGATGAATTTC